TGCGTGCCGTGTTTTTTGTTACTTGTACCAGCACGCGCGTGCAGCGGTTGTGGATGCGCGTGAGCGTGTTTATGTTTTCCCGTGACAGCATGCGTTTGTATCGCTTTCGCCACCATGCGCGCAGCGGTTGTGGATGCGATCGTTTGCCTGTTTGTTGCCGACCACGCCGCCAAGGGCCTGGTTGTTGCGTGCATGTTTTTTCATGTTTCGGGTGTTCGGTGTCACATGAACATAAGCGCACGCCGGGACGAGCGAGTGACAATGAACACTCTCATGCGCATCCACAACCGCTGCACGCACGGTGGCACAAGCGATAATAAACACGCTCAAATAAGCCAGCAAGCAAGCAAACAAACATTAAGCGAACAAGCAAAGTCACAATTACGCAAATAAGCAAGCAAACAAGCAAACGCACAAATAAGCAAACATCCACACAAACAAACAAGCAACCACCCAAGCAAACAAACAAACAATGACAATCATGAAACAAACAAAACCAAACCAGCAGGCAAGGAATGAAACAAGCACAAACAAGCAGGTAAACGGGAAAACAATCAAGCAGCCAAGCAAACAAGCAAACATCCAAATCAAAGACAGGCAAGCGCACAGACAAACAAGCAACAGGGAGCCAGGCAGACAAACAAATAAAGGAGAACGAACAAACAAACAAACAAACAAACAAACAAATAAATAACAGAAGAATGAAGCAAGCAAACGAACGAACGAAACAACCCAAACAAACAAGCAAGCAAGCAAGCAAACAAACAATCCAGCAAGCCGCAAGCAAACTCAAACAAACAAACAATCAAGCAAACAACCAAACAAGCACACAAACAACAACACACAAAGAAACACACAAACAAGCAATCCACTAGAAAAGCTTACAATCAAGCAAACTATGATTCGAAACACAAGGAACCGCAAACATTCATTCAAACACAGAAACAACGAATCAACAAACAATCAAGCAAACCCCTAAACAGCCATCCAAACAAACACACATACCCACAAGCAACCAATCAAACAAGCAAGCAAACAAGCAATAGACAAGCAACAACCAGAAAAACAAATCAATCAAACACACAAACATACACAAACACACAAAGTGACACACAAGACCAATCAAACAAGCAAGCAAGCAAACACGCAAACAATCAATCAATCAACAAATCAATCAAAGGAACACAACCATACAAACACACACAAACATTAAACAAGCAAGCGACCAACCAAGCAACCGAACAACCAAACAACAAAATAAGCAACCAACCAAAGAAGCAATCAAGCAAATAACCAAACAAACGTTCCGTCATTCAAACAAAAGAACATCAAATAGAAGCAAATAAACAAACACGCAAACAATCAAACCAGCTAGCAAGCAAGCAAGCAAGCAAACACAAAAACAAGCAAACAATGCATCAAGCATGTCCAACAAACAACAAACACAATCGCATACACACAAACAAACTCCTCAACAGACAAACAAACAAGCAAACTGGCAGAACAGCAAACGAACAAGCAAACAAACAAACAATCAAACAACAAACACACGCAAGCAAACTCGCAAACAAGAACCCACATAAACAATGAATCAATCAAACCAACTCAAAGACAAACAACAAAAACTTTCAATCAACCACACAAACACAGAAACTACCACACAACCACTCAAGAGAACCACGAAGCGGGCAAGCAAGCGCGCAAACAACCACCTGCGCACACACACAAGCGCACAGACAAACAAACAATAACAGGCAGACAGGCAGACAAACCAACAAACAAAAACAACCACACACACAAATAAATCACAAACAAACAAACAGACAAGCAAACAAGCGAAAAAGCAAACAGACAGACAGACAGACAGACAGACAGACAGACAGACAGACAGACAGACAGAAAAGCAAACCATCAAGCAATAAATCAAGCACACAAACAAACAAACAAACAATCAAACAAGCAAGCAAAGAAACAAGCGAGCCAGCACAAAACACAACAACAAACGAACAACCAATCAACCAAATAAGCAATGAACCAACTTATCAAACAAACAATGAAACCCACACGCACACACACGCAAACAATCAAAGAAACCAATTCGAAGAACTCGAACAAACAATCAGTCAACCACGCACTCACTCAATCAACCGAACAACCAAATGAGCACACACACACACAAAAAAGAAAAGACAACACAAACCACAATTCAACAAAACAGCTAACAAGCAAGCAGACAACCAATCAATCAAGCAAGCAATCGATTAATCAACACACAAAATACACAAACCGACAAAGAAACAAGCAAACAAACAAACAAACAACCAAACAAATCCAAAAACAATACGGCCAAAAAAGCAAGCCATCAATCCGACATCAATCAATCAAACAAGCAACGAAACAAACAAACAAGCACACAAGCAAACACACCAAACAAAACACAAACAAGCAAGGAAACCAAGCAACCAGTCAATCAACCAATCAACCAATCAATCAATCAATCAATCAATCAATCAATCAATCAATCAATCAATCAATCAATCAATCAATCAATCCAATCAATCAATCCAATCAATCCAATAAATCAAACACTAAAACAATCAAACAATTAAAACAGCGAAACAAGCAAACAAGCAAACAAGCAAGCAAGCAAACAAGCAAACAAACAAACAAACAATCAAAGGAACACAACGATACAAACAACACAAACGATCACGGGCTCACCCAAATGGTGCGTTTCCCAAAAACAGGCTGCTTAGCCGTTGTTTGGCAGGTCCCTGGGGCCCTAGCTTCGGAAGAGGCACAAGAGGGAGGGAGAGGTGAGTTCCAAGTTCACCCTGTCAGCGATCTGAGGGTCAAGCGATGAACAGGGCCTCTGGGACCATGGTGAATCAAAGTGGCTACCCTTCAGGACGAACGCGCTCAAACATGGTCGGTGGAAATAAATATCCATTTTCAATTGGGAGTCATTGGTACCCAGATGCGCAGAGGAGGATTGGGCAACGATTGCACCTGATGCAGGAGATGTGCGAGCTGCAACATCATTTTCCTTGTAAAGAGTGATGAAACAGGAAAAATGACCATGCATTTTGGAGTACTTCACTTTACGGAGCCATCCCTCAAGACATGGCCAAAACAAATCGCGCTGTGTTTGTTGAGGATGCCCTTTTGGGGGGTTTGTCTTTATCGTCGGACCGGAGGAAAAAGAGTTTGGCATTTGGGGTCCCCGACGGAGGGGTCCCAAACTTTTTGTGCAAGTTTTACTTGATTGAAGGAGGTTGATGGCAGCTTGGCACAAGTTGGCACAAGTGACCCAAAGAGTAGTTGTTCTGTGAAAAGGTGTTCCTGAGCTCCTGGTCCCTTTTTTTCCCGTTTTGGGCAGACCAGTTTAGTGGCAAAATGTTGTTTGGATTTTTTGGCGCCACTCAGTTGAGGCTCGATACCCCCAAAAAGGGGAGGGCCGCCCAACGGAGACCAGCATCACCTCTGCTATAGCGGGGGTTGCTTTACTTGGAGGTTAGTAACTCAGTTGTTCAGTTGGAGTTTGGTAAGATGGATCACTCCCTGGTGAGAGTTTTGCTGCTGAGTGTAAGGTGGTAGAGCTGAGTTTGGGGAGGTGAGTTACTCAGTTCTTCAGTGGCACCAATTATTTGTCCAACTCTTTCTTTGGTGCCCCCACTAAAAATGGTCCAAGCCCCCAAAAGGCGTCCAATCCTTTTTTTCCAGGGTCACTGAACAACTGAGGTAAGTATCATGGACCCTTTGTTTCTTCTGTGGATGGTTGCGAAATCCAGGCTCCGCACCACCATTCAGAAACCCCGGAATGATTCGAATCCCCTGTAAATACCCACAAACGATGTGTCCAACCATGGATTCAACTTGGTGCGAACGAATTGCTTCCATCCACAGTAGGGATTCGAACATGATAAGGGAATCATGACAGTGTCCAACAGGAACCATGATAACCAACATAAGGACTCTTGACCCCACAAACACTGTGTTTGTTCGAGGGTGCTCTGTATGGGGTTAATTATGTTGAAGGAAACCCGTCAGAGATCCGCTCGTTTCAGGGATGACTTGGTTTTGCGACATTTCTTACATTGAACACTGAACATGGAGCAATACATGCATGGCAACTGGATAGATTGGGTCAGTAGCCCCTCCACCAAATCCATTTCAGCTCACCTTTCAGGGTTTGCGAACTCATGAAGGTTCCTTGTTGGATGGACTCATACTGTGGATGGTTGTGAATTCCTGCACCACTTTCAATCCATGGGTGCAACCTTTGTTTGTTGGCATTTACAACGGATTCCAATCATTCCAGGGTTTCTCTGGAGTAGACTTAGGATACATTTTATATTTTACCAGTGACTCAAAGTGAAGCAAGCAATAAAATAAACATTCTATAACTGGGCTAACTCTAATGATGTTCTTAGGTGTTGCAGGTTTCGGCCATCCACATTATTTCCGTTGTTTTCCTTTTGGAATGGCTCAAGCTTTACGGCAGCTACGGGACTTCTGGCAAGATCTGGCAGCTGAGCAGCCAACCAATCGGTTCTCGCAGCAAGACACCCTCGCGTTCCTGAAACCACGGCATGTGCGGGATGGTCGAAAACTGATGGCACGTCGGTACTGATATGAAACTGGGCAGGGGCCCTATGCGTGCCAGTACCCTCATGTGGTTCAGCCGTTAGTGTGTACATCCACAAACATGTCATGTTTGTGAATCAATGCAATTCCCCTACACGTACGTGTGGCGTCCTAAATGTATGTTGGACCTTCATCCTTTAAGTCTTTGCACAACCCGGCAAACAGTTCAACTAAGTGTTTGGGGGGCAACATCACCCACCCTGGATTTTCAAGCCACCATTAAAACATCAATTTGGGTTAGTATAACTGTATAACCACCAATATTTGCCCTTCAGGAGTTTCATCTTCCAACCTGGGTCCCAAGGCAATTCTTTTTAATGGGGGCAAAGAACCCCAGGGCCCAGGCTTTCCACACGTCTCAGCGAGTTGGGGCTGCGAATGGTGCGATGGTGGCTGGGCATCCTGCAGTTGATCCTTTGCGGCGGCGACAACACGCCCCATGACAATTCAGACCCGAGGAACCCAGCGCTAGCCGCTATAGTGGCTACCCTCTTCATGGGAAATATATGTGGGGGGGGGGGGGATGTTTGTGTTTTTGTTTGGACCTGATTCGGGGCGGTTTTAAAGGGCGACCTAAAGGACAACGAGGATTGTTGGTGTCTAAAAAAGGCACACGCATAATTGACTACGCCTGTCGAGTTCTTTTTCTTCTCCCCGGGCCCCCAGTGCGGCAACCCTTCAGGATGACCAAGCCTTCGGTAGGTTTATTTGGCGTCTTTGAACTGTCCAAAATGGCGGTTGTCCTTTTGGAACCCCCTTTAAACCCCACGAAAAATGGGTACCCTCAACAAAAAGACCGACCCGCCTGGTGTTACCATGGACGACTGGCAACTGGAAGCACTGCAGCGAAAGTCCTCACCGGCCAAGCCATAGATCGGTGCGGCGCTGCAAATTCTTTAATTAGGTTGGTTTAGGTAGACCCTTTTAGTACCAGGTTTTGATTCTAACTCATCAGGGTCTCCTGACTTGAAGCCAAATTCCCAAGTAAAATGCTGAACCTCTAATGCTCTTACCCTCCCATAGATGGGACCTCACCATGGTTGTTGGGAGACATGTTGTTTTAAACATTTTTGCTTATTGTGGTTTAGTGGTTGAAATCCTACCACTTAACTGCTAGGAGTTGAGAATTTTTGCTCCCCTTTCAACGTCAACCAAGCAAACGTGTCCCAGTACCCTCCCTTCCACTAGCATAGAACCTGTGGGAGGGTACCTGGAAGATCATTTTCCTCTTGGACCCTCTGTCAGGTGCCATGTTAGTGGGAGTGAGGGTAGGGACGTTTTCTCCAAAAGTGGCCTAAATTCCCACTAACAGGGGACCCCATTCATGAAAGGGGGTTATGAATCTACTTCCATTTGCTTGAGAATATGTGATTTTTCTTCGCCTTTAACCACGCGATGATCTTTCACTCATACGCCACCCGGCGGAAAGAATTGGTCCAACTTGGGTTATTGTGTGGGTTATTGTGTGTGGTTATTGTGGGGTGATTGTGTGGGTATCGTATTCTGATGTGTCAGGTGGTCCAACTTGGGATATCCATGGTTGTTGTTGGGAAACATTTTACATGTTTGCTGATTGTGGTTTAGTGGTTGAAATCCAACCACTTAACTGCTAAAATTTAATTTGTTGCTCCCCTTCCCACGTCAACCAAGTCACAAACGAGTTTCTCTTAAAAGCAACCTGGTGGGTTCCATGTGGACCAGAGCTTAGATTCCAGAATATATCTTTGGCTGTGGTGGTCCAAACCGTTTTGGCATCCCATTTTGGTTGGGATTGGTGAATTCACCACCCATTTTAGGCTTCCTATTTTAGTGGTGGGATTGGGATGTTCACTGGGGGAAGGGGATTTTGACCCATGGCCATCTGAGTCAAAACAGGGTAACCCCCCCCCCCAAAGGAAAAAAAAAAGCAAGATGCCGGTTTCCTCTTGGTTTCCCCGTGACAGCATCCCAAAACGGGTATATTTCAAGTCTCGAAAGCACACACCGATTTCTTCACCCATGGCAATTTCTTTGTACTTACCTCTTAAAAACACAACTTTTCTCAACTTTTTGGGGGTCACATGGGCTATATGTCTGTAAAAGATGAGAACTTCCCCAGGGCAAAAGGAGTTTTCAGGGGTAAGTGGTACCTTCTACGTTTTCCGGGCCCTGCCTTTGCGGCAACCAGGTTGAGTCCGTCGGGGGGTCGGGAGATTTTTTGCCGCCAGGGGAGTCACGTGCAATCAAAACCGGAAACCCGGGGAAGTGAAGGTTAGAAAGCGGCACTCCCGGCCGTAAATTGTTAAACGTTTGCGGATATCCGCCTTTCAACTCCCTACGTTCTGGGTTCATCATTTGTGTACCAGGTTTTGATTACCCAGGTGTTTGCGGCCCTGGGAGGTCCTTTTTTCCTTTTGGCGCGGATTCCAGATGGTCAACTTCAGAAGAATTGGTTCCCTTTTGCCAATAGAATCCGACAGACAGCGTTTTGAAGAATCGCCTTGAAAAGCCTCCCTGTCCACGTCCATTGTCAATTGTTGCAACTGTACCTTTTTTTGCATTGGCAATCTTTTGTTGCATTGGCAATCTTTTTTGTAGATTTCCAGAGATTCCCTTGTTCAAAGTCATCTTCCCCACAACCAGTGTTGCTTTTCTCTGTACTAACCAAGTGAACCCCCCTTAAAAGCCAATCGGCAAATGGATCGAAGGCTTGCAGCAGTGTCTAACGAGCGGAATCACTGGGACAGATTCGAATCCTTTTGCTACCGAAACTTGCTGTTGCTCAGCAGGGAATGCTGGAATGACCCTTATAAACCATCCTTTGCTGGTTTCCTTTATTCAGGAATCCGAAAAAAGTCTCATTCCCAGATTCCCAAAGTTCCTTTCAGGGAATCCCACACCCGGGTCCAATTCTAAGGAGGTACACGACCCCTTTCCCCCATTCCCCCAAAAGCCATCTCAGGAGGTACCAAGGGACCCTCGGACCCAGATCTGGGAAAGGGTTCATATCCCCAAAACCCGACTCAGTCACTCCCGGCTCTCAGACTCTCCTCGCACGGATTCCCTGCGCGACCCAGTCCACTCCTCACACGCGTCGATCGCCTCGTGGCATATGCGGAGCTCGAGGCATGCCGAGGACTTCGAAGCCTTGGGCACCAACTGGTCAGACTCCGCGCCCAACCTCACCGGCCGAGTCAAGGCACAGCGGGGTCCTAGGGGTTCCTGGTCTTCTAAGATTCTAGGTCCCCCAGCAATTGGTGCCAACAAGAAGCCAACTGTCTCTTTTTTGGTTGGGAGGGTTCCAAACTACTAAAATAGACAAAGCCGAAAAACAAGTTGGTAGCCTTATTATAACTTCTCTAGGACCTAGTCAACGAACCTAACTGGATTGAGAATTTGGAGTCTGGGTTGAAACCTGGCGATATGGCTGTGGTGGTCAAAACCGTTTTGGGATCCCATGTTGGTTGGGATTGGTGAATTCACCACCCATTTTAGGCTTCCTATTTTAGTGGTGGGATTGGGATGTTCACTGAGGGTAGGGGATTTTGACCCATGGCCATGAGTCAAAACAGGGTAACCCCCCCCCCCCAATGCCGGTTTCCTCTTGGTTTCCACTTGACAGCATCCCAAAACGGGTATATTGAAATCGCATCGCGATCCGCCGACGCCAGTGGACAGTCCCCACATGTGCTCGAATTCTATTCCATATGTTGACTCTCATGTACCAGTTATTTGTCTTACTGAGCCTCGGCGCTTTTTTTGGTTCGATCTTGTGAGTCAAGATATCTCTGCGCACTCGTAAAGACTCAATGCCAATATCTAAGAGAGTATTCAATTGGCATCGTTGCACCGATCTTGAAACTCGCTAGTCGCATCACACAGATGCGTGCAGTTGGACAAGTATGCAACCAGCGGATTGAGAAAACAAGGATTTGGCTGGGTGGGAGCGACGACAGCTGTAAAGCTGCATTTGTCTGTCAGACACAGCGTGCCCCATGTTTAGAGAGCTTCCTCATGTCCTTACTTGCCTCGTTTCCAAACTTGGAGGAAAAGGGCAGCTGCCGTACCATGAGAAAGACCGGGGGGGGGGGGGGCGGGGTGGGGAGCGACAGTGCCGGACTTCTGGGTCTTGAAGCGTGCATCTTGAGCCGTAAAACATGTTACAGGATGGTGCAGGAACCACAATAAATGAACGTGCCACAACAAGGCCTTCTTGGCACTTTCCTGTTTTTCATTTCCCGAATGCTGGTGTCTCGAATTTGGGGCAGAGAAAAAGGCGTCTTTTTGCCTAGGTCACATGGGGCTCTTAACGCGTGGAAAGAGATCAAACGACGCCCCTCTCTGACGTCGGCTGCAGGTCAGGAAAAAGACGTCTTTTTGCCTCAACACCCCTCTGACTTCGGCTGCAGGACCTTGAATTTGGGGTACACGGGGGTCTGAACAAAAAAAGTCTCTGAGGTGCCTTGAATTGGGGGTAAGGAAAAAGACGTTCTTTTGCCTAGGTCACATGGGGCTCTTAACACGTGGAAGGAGAGGGTGTTTCGAATTTGGGGTAAGGAAAAAGATGCTTTTTTTGCCTTGGTGATATGGGGCTGGTCTGAACAGTACAAACAACCCCGCTCTGACTTTGGCCGGGACACGTGAAAGGAGAAGAACACTAGGGTCTACTCTATAAACCACCCCCCCTGAAAGGGCATAAAAGCAAGGCCCCATTTTTTGTAAGTCCAGACTTTTTTCGAATTTGTTTGGAACCCCAAGCATGAAGTGCAGTGACAGTGCCGGATTTCTGGGTCTTGAAGCGTGCATCTTGAGCCTTAAAACATGTCCCAGGATGCCCCAGGAACCACAATAAATGAACGTGCCACAACAAGGCCTTCTTGGCACTTTGCTGTTTTTCATTTCCCGAATGCTGGTGTCTCGAATTTGGGGCAGAGAAAAAGACGTCTTTTTGCCTAGGTCACATGGGTCTCTTAACGCGTGGAAAGAAGACCAAACGACGCCCCTCGCCTGCAGGGTGAAAAAGACGTCTTCTTGCCTAGGTCACATGGGCCTCTTAACGCCTGGAAGCAGAACAAACAACACCTCTCTGACTTCGGCTGCAGGACCTTGAATTTGGGGTACACGGGATCTCAATGGTGGCCTTGCGTCGCTGCGCGGGCCTGAGTTGCAGGCAACCTGCCACACGCGCATGTCTCAGGGCCAGTGTGGCTGCGTTGAGGCACGTTGAACAAACAGCCTTTTTGCCAGCCCAGCTTGCATAGCTTGTGCAGCCACCAGCCATGCTCCGGACTAAAATCGTGGAGGCCCGGCCTGAGAAATGCTTGTCGGGCGAGTAGGGCCAACAGTCAGTTCCCAGATCCTTGGAAAGGTGCAACAACGAGACCCTTGCCCGCACGGAGCCGGCAAGGTTCGGGCGCCACCTGACATTCCAGCACGTGGCTTGGTGGCAGCCAAGGCTTTCTTGATTGTAGACACCATGCGCATGACTCTGCCCAGCTGCAGGCTGAGGTTTAGCAGGCGCTGGACACAGAGTTCCCCGTCAGCAAGTTGATTGTGACGATCAGCAGCATGGCTGCAAGATGGCGCGCAAACCTGTCGTAGTAGTGTGTCTTGTGATGCCATTGCGCCCAGGGCTCATTCAGCAACCAGAAACCATCCAGGGAGGCGCCGAGGTGGTGCTTGCGCATGGCACGTTCAAGCTGGATTGCCTCCCTTGGGTGGGGAACGGCTCTTCAAGCTCACCAAAGGAGTTGAGGTCACCGCCCACATCACCATCGCAGTCGCTTCGTGGGAGGGGCCAAGTGTCAGAAGGAAATAATGGGTTTGTAAAATACATCACATCTTTTGTGTTGTTTATAATATCTTTTCTGGCTCGTCTTGTCGACGTGCTTCCTGAGCTAATTTATTAAGCTTAGTAATCTTGGAATTGCATGCCAGGTAGCAGGTATTTTGTGTTCTCTTCTCTTTTAGTCCTCTTCATTTTTCATTTTCATATTACTTTTAGGTGAAGAGGATTTCGTCATCGGCTGGGCTGAGCCTGAAGCCTGACTGAAACAGCACGGTTGTTCACAGCAGGGTGTTTGAACTGCCTCCCTTCCAGATAGCTGCAACCTCAAGATTTGCTTCGCTTATTTTGGCCCTAGCGTAGTATAACCCTGAAACTCCTGACTTCCACCTTGCTTGGCTTAAGGACGGCAGCTTCAACATCCAGGTCCTCATCGTGACGAAGAATTTTCAGCCGAAGCACCGCAGCCACTTCTTCAAGCTCACCCCAGAATCCCCCAAACACTGCGCGCCTATGCACGTCGCCTATGCCCCATGACGTCACGTGGCTTCTGGGTCTGAACAGCTGGAACCCAGGCGCAGGGCCATGGCAGGATTTTGCAAGACAAACATAATTCCAGACAATTGTCGTGTTTTTGTTTTCCAAGATTGATGCCGGGCCGGGGAATGGGGCCCTGTGGGGCCTGCGGACCTCTGGGCAAGGTGGCTGGGGACCATGGGGACGACAATGGAACACGCCAGTCACTGGCTCTAGTCTTCAGTGAGATTTTTGAGATGCCCCATCAGCTTGTCCGCAACTGCGCCCTTGGCCACAATGTCAGCTGCCCCGCCTTGTCGCACCCTTTGGCCACTGAGTGCCACCACAGCGCCGGCAACTGAAACGCGCTGAGTGCAAAAATGTTGCTTTTGTGAGTGCAGCTCGGTCACATTGAGCATGAGTTGAAAATCACTGATGCAGAACACGAGGGTCTACTCTTTAAACCACCACCGAAAGGGTATAGAAGCAAGGCCCCCTTTTTTTGTAAGTCCAGACTTTTTCGAATTTGTTTGGAACCCAAGTGCAGCTCAAACCAAGAGTTATATACATGCAGGAGGGAGGGATGCAACCACACAACTTACAGGAACACACCCAATCTTCGCGCTCAAGAGACACGCAACATTGACCAACCACAGAAAATACCAGAGATGCGGGGAATGCTGGGAATGCAGCCGGCTAGCCGCAAAAAAAAGAAGAAGAGTGTTTATCGATATGTCCCAAAAGCTAGCCCCACCCAAACCCCCAAACAGGCCAATTCCAACATCGCTTGAAACACCAGCAAAACGAGGTAATCCTGATGATGCTGGGGATGCAGATTCTGCGCGTCCGGGGAACCCCCCCCCAGAGACCTAGGCGAAACGCAGATTTTTAGCACGAAAGACCCAAAAACACTGTTTTTGACACCTCCTAGCACAGCATGCCCAAAAATAGCAGTCCCAAAAGCCTTCGGCTTTGATAAAAGATTGAAGGAAGACCAAGTTGCGGACTGCCATCTACACGCTCGACTGGCGTCGGTGGATTTCAAGTCTCGAAAGCACACACCAATTCATTCACCCATCGCAGCGTGGGTCCAAACCTCTTGAGTCTTGAGCACAGCAGGTCAAGCAGAAGGCCCCCGTTCAAACATGCAGCCTACATGGTGTCAAGGTGTGTTGGGAGGGTGATGCTGAGCCCATTTTCCTGTTGGAATTGAAAGGGTGGTTCCCAGGCTACAGGGAAATGGAATCACTGGGCATATTTTATACCTACATCATTTGGGTGTGTGTGTGTGTCAAATAATAATGATAATTGACAAAAATGGCAGTAATAACAATGATCATAATATCATAATAAGACAAACTACTACTAAGAACAAAAAACAACTCAAAATGGTGGTTGTCCCAAATGCCAACCAAAAAGGGGTAGCTTCAAGGCCCGGCGCGCCGTGGCGTCCACGCTGGATGCCATCACTGGCACAGTGGATGAGACCGCGGTGATTGCCCCCTGCTTCGTACGTGTTGGCTTCGCATTTCTGCGTTTCATACTGCTCAGTTGTTCAATGGCACCCTTTTTCTTTGTCCCATTTTTTGGTGACCCCACTATTAATGGTCTTCTCCAAAAAGAATTCCCTAGTTTTCCAGGGTCACTGAACAACTGACACCGTCGATGGTTTCGAAATCCATACCCCGCACAACGAAATGAAGCCATGGTTGAAACTACAACGCTTGTTGGTGTTACAGCGGGAAACCTCAGAAACCAGGGTTTCTTAGGTGGTGCGAAATGATTTTTGATTATGTATAGTAGTATGCGTTGCAGTTGTTGTGCATATCAATAGGAGTTTCATATGGTTGGCTGAGAGGACTTCGTGCTGGAAGGTTTCACGTTGCATAATATTATGGTTGGTATGTTCTTCTGAGGCGCAGTACGCGTTTCGGGTGGTTTTGAAGGAAACCAAACCATAATCCATGTTGAGTCCAAAACCCGGTTTTTGACACACCCAAATCAGGTGTGAAGCATCTCATTGGCTGTGAGAGTGCCGTGTTTTTCAGCAACAATATATATATATATATATATATATTTGTTTCCAGCACCTCATGCTGATTGGCACTCTTCGTAGGGTCCCTTCCAGGATCCTGTTTCGAACGATGTGGCCGAAACGAAACAGACACCAGTCACCATCCCTTGCAAAGGCAGGTCCGCTCCAAGAGCCTCCAGCGCAGAGCAGTTGCAACCAAAGAAGGTGGTCCAAAAGCGGGTTTCTGGTCCAGAAGTCCAACCACCATATCCAAAACGGCGAAGCTCTCGTCCAAAAAAGTGAAGAGTGCGGTCCCCAGATGCTTAGGGCGGTCCAACAAGTTTGCTTCCTTCCAAAACCTCCCAAAAAGGTCCCTAACGCACTCCGACAAGTTGCAGCACCTCAAATTGGCCCGAACACATGCTCATGTGGTCTTGCCATGCCCAGTGCTTCCAGTTACCACTTTAGGCAATCAGGGGAAACCACGATAAAACCAAAGGTAAAAATATGTCTGGTGACCTGTAGTGGCGAAACGCCTGGAAGCACTGGGCGATGGTGTTCCCCTGGTTTCATCCTTTTGTCCTGGCTTCCCCCCTCCCCCCTCCCGTTTTTTTTGGGGGGTTTTCCCCGTTTCCGGTTTCCCCCCCGTTTTCCCGGTTTCGGAGGTCCGCGGGGTGGGGGACACCACGGCGGCCACCCTGGGCGCCACCCTGCGCCTCACCGGGGGCCTCACACGGGGCCTGGGGCTGGCGGTGCAGTCGCGCCTCGCCGCGTTTGCGCGCGTTGGTTCAAAAACAAAACGCGCGGCGGCGCTTGGCCTTAGTAATGGGTGTTTTGTGTTTTTTTTTTTGGGGGGGTGTTGGTTGTTGGATGTTGTTTTTTGTTGCCATAGCTTGCAATTGGTGTTTTTTGGTTGTTGGTTGTTGTTTTCTGAGTTGGTTTGGTTGGTTGGTTGGTTTTTTGTTGAACTCCCTGAAAATTAAACGTTTTTGCCCCGTTGGGCCACTAATACTTTCATTTGCTTTGGGGAGTTGACCGTTTGGTTTTGGGTAAATGGGAAGCCACCTTCTGCTGAACAGAATACGTGTCTCTATTTTCCCTTCTTGGTTGTAAAGGGTGCGATCTCGCATGGTTTGGTGGGTGCGAGCGCTCCGGTTCCTTAGGTTTGCAGTGGTTTTGAGTTGGTCGTTACCTACAGGGAGATGGAATCAGTGAGCATAGGGTGTGTGTGTGTGTGTCTGTGTGTTTTGAAGGATCTGGTCCCCAAAATGGCTCACAAGCTGTTTTGTCTTTTGCTTTTTTTGTTTTTACGGATTTAGGTTTGGTTTCCCTTTAGGTTTCCCTTTGGCAGCCACCCAAAAAAGATATACCCTCAAAACAGGACACCCATGGGGTCAGCCAAAAAGGGAGTCTCCTTGTGATGATGCTTCGAGGGAAGCCATGGCTATGGCAGCGGCTGTGGCCAAGGAATGCTGGCAGTTCCCGCTATTTTTTCAGGGCTCCTTGAAAGATTCATTTTGCCCATTTGAAACCTGGCTTGCTCCACCCAAATACAGGGAAACCACCATTTACAAGGCAATGTTCAGGTGTATCATGTAAGGATCCCTGTTTTTCGTCATGAAGGGTCCTTCTAGTACTCTGCGTTTGGGCATATATTTCCATTTGCTCAAGAATAGTTTATATGTTCCCTTGGTTTTAAAGGGAATCGATTTCACTACTGGAAATTATTGTTTGTTTTCCGGAGGGCTTAAGCAAATGGAAGTAAGTAGTGAGAGGAATTGCACAGAATTGGAAAATGCAATTGTCGTTTTGAAGGAACACCCTTGCTTTCATATTTCATACATGTTTCTACTTTGTTATGCAATCGCGGCCACCAACAAAGTAGCTTTTGTTTTGCAAAACTCCCTGTTTGTTTGGAGGGCGTGTATTGAACACAGGCAACTCCAAAGGGTGTCCGACTCAAGATTAAATGGGTTTGTTTGGGTCTTGCCACTAAGCGTGGTCGACCCCCCAAAAAGGCATCCGGACGACGTCCCCATCCCAATTTGGGAATGTGTGTTGCTTGCCTGGGCAGTTTTTTGTGAGGGACCTAAGGGGTTTGTGACCTTCACATATTGAAGGGATCCCTCATTTTCGATTGTGAATGGTTGTGATGTATCCAGATGGGTTTAATCCCTGCTTTTTTTGTGCCTTGGTTCTGATTTCATTACCCCCTTGTGTGTTTATCTCTTGGCTAATTTCCCCAAGATGCATTCCCTGGTTTTTCTTTGTTTTTTTCCCCGGGCACTGGTTGAAACGTCTATGTTTTTGTGGCTTCGAACGTCGCCAGGGTCACGCCGAAGAGTTTTACAGGAAGACCACTGGTCGGAATCCTGTATACCTGGAGTCTCCTTCTGACCCTTAAAGCATGGGGTTACCAAAATAAAGATTTGGGTCATGACCAACCATTTTCAAAGGCAAGACTCTAGCCCCCAAACCAAAGAAGCCGGGAGAAGCGCCGGGTGTCCGGCCCAGGTTTGGGGAAGCGCAAGTGGTCAAGAACGGGCCGCTGGCGGCCCCCTCGCGTGTCTTTGCGCCACGCATGCACTAGGCATATTGTTAAAACCCTCTAGGCCCCGTGCCGAAATTGGGCAGCTGTTCTGAGGTCCTTGTTGGTGTTGCTTCCCAAGTTCCATTGATCGCCATTTGGCTCAAGACACAATTGAGGTTCAAGATCTGATGTGTGACTGCATACCTACGTGATCGGCATTAAGAGCGAAAACACTTCGCTTGCGCTGCATTTGTCAGGACCACTGTTGTAACTATCATTCCTTCTTCCTTACAACGTTTACACGGGTTCGGCTATAACGGCATCGTCCGTATACACCTTTCTACGTGGTTGGTATTAAGCTTGAGGGTTCGGTGCACAGCGTCCCACGGGACGTCACCTTGCCGTCTCTTGACAGGTTATCAGCCGTAACTACAAGCTCTACACTGGACTGGGAGACAGCTGGTTTATTGCGGGTACAGGGACAATAAAGGAACGATAACCTACACAGTACAATGGCGTCTTCGGCGAGCCCAAGTACTGCAACTTTTGGGAACAGCAGCTCAGAGGGATCCAATGGATTGATGGCTCTTCCTGCGGTGATGGATATGATTGCAGATTCACAGGATGAACCTGGGAGCGGAGGTTCCGCGCTATTCAGCGACATATCTACTCCCACAAGATCATGGAAGCAGATCGATGTTCATCAGGAGTCGAAGAAAAGAGAATCCCCACCGAGAAGATCATCATCTTCGCCTGCGACACCACGGACGTCGCAGAAGGGCGTGAGATCGACATCGAAGGGTGGGAGGTCAAAATCACCCACCAGTGCAGATTTTCGCGCCGTGATCAAAGAGAAGAATAAGATGGAGGTGGAGATCGGGGAATATCAAAAGACACTTGATGAAATGTCGGCAGCAATGGCGAATCTTAACCAAGAAGACTATGGAAGCACCATCCGGATCCAGGAGCTGGAAAGACGATGCGAGATTGCCAGCAAGCAGTCGGGACATCTAGTGAGTCACCACCAACACCACATGGCTGAGGCATGGCGCAAGTTTGAGGAAGAAGCCCAACAGATGCGCAAGGTGGAAATGAACGCATTTCAGTACGGGGAGAAGAAAGACATGGAGTCGAATATTATGATGCAACAGATGAGGCAAGCTGAAGGAACTATCATGGAGCAGAAGCGGGAGATTGCATTGATGAGATCCTACATGGCAAGCGAGAAGTCGGCCGCGCAGGAATCAGCTATACGTGCAAATCAGATACACCGTGAGGCTTCACAACAGATATCAGTTTATCAGCAACAGATCAGAGGCATAGAATCTTCTACATCTATCGAGAAGTTCAACGAGGAGGAGATGGTCCAAAGTCTGAAATCACAGTTGGAGCATGCACTCGTCAAGCGCCCCGAGACGTACTCTTTGGAGGACTCCAGGGAACAGCTGATGGCGAGGCTGAATGACGTTACAGTATTTGCGGAACAGGAATCGAAGAGAGCAGATTGCTTGCTTCGCGAAAAAGAAGAGATCGTCAAACAGTATGAGTCCGACGTGTCGATGAAGGACCAGATGATTGCTGTCGAAGGTGGTCATCGTCAGGATGCGATCTTGGAGTTAGCCCAGGTCAAAGAAGAGAAACAAGAGGAACGGTGCACGATGGACGAGAAGTCGAAGGAGGCTGAGTACTGGAGATTGACAGCTAAGGGAATGTACGATGAGTACCTCGAGGAGATGCATGAGCTTCAGAGACAACTGAAGGAAAGAGAGGCGACGCTCAAGCAAGAAGAGAGTTTTGTACGCCAACTCGATGCTGACAACGAGGAACTACGTGCACACAAGAAGCTGGAGACACAGGAAGCCTCCAGCAGCAAAGATGGACATCGTGAACGAGCAGTAGTGAAACGCGCTGAGGGAGGAACCCAGGCTAATTCGAATAGGATAGACAAGAAGGTGGCTGGGTCAGTCCCGTCATCGTCTTCGAATCAAATCCCTAATTCGTCGCTGATGCCAGGTTCGATCCTCTTTCCGTCTTTCGGTGATCCAATGATCGATGTACACCTATCCCAGATGCAAGGGGTTGTTGGGCATGTCCCACAATCCACTACTACGACTGGTGGTGGTGATGGGGGGGGAAACAACGGTACTACGCCCCCATTGGATTACGGTGGATTCCCGCCCAATGGGAATGGGCAGGGAGCGGGTCGACGTCAGTTGAGCCTCGCTGGTGGCGGAGGAGGACCTCCGGATGATCCACCCGATGATGAGGATGAGGATGACGACGACGAAGGAGATGAGGAAGACGAGGAAGAAGAAGAGGAAGAAGACGATCGGACACGGAGGAGACGAAGGAGATCGAGAGATAACCGAGAGATCAAGAATGATCGACCGAGAATCTCGAGGAAAGAGGCCGAGAGAGTATCTATTCCGGCCTGGCCAAAGATCCATCAACTTGACACCTGGAAGATGCAACTGCTGATGAATGTTCTGAGCGCATGTGCAGATCCAGATACCGACGCATGGACGAAATGGCTGGAGCAGGCTCTTGGGTTGAACCCAGACCTGGATTTGCTTAGCGATTCAGGTGGCGACAGATTTGCTACGATAGATATTAAGATGGCCATGGGCATGCAGAACATGCTGAAACAAGCACCTGACGAAGCCAAGGACGTATACCTCGATGCTACACGACACTCTGAACTACGACATCAACAAGGGGTGATCGTGAAGGGACGAGAGTTGGTGGCATTGGTTATGCAATCATTCAGAACTTCCGATAGAACGGATCTTGTCTACCACATCGAGCATCTATTCAACCTTGACTTTCCTGGCGACAAGAACTTGGTCATGTTCAGGAACAAATGGTATGATTTGCTGCTGAAGATGAGGAGCGAGGACAGACCCAGTAAGCTGGCTCTCAGAGACATCCTTTACAGGAAGATCAAAGGGAGCAAGAAGATGGAGTTCGGCCTCAATGCCTACCATAGACTACCGGACAAGCATCCTCAGAAGACGTATGAATTCTTATTGGCGTTGATCGACTATCAGATCAAGGCAGATCGGGAAGACCTGATGCTCGACATGAAGGAGAAATCGGTCAAGTCGATGATGAAGTCAGGCGGGAAGGATGCGGCTCCAGCAACTGGCAAACAGGAGAACCAGGGTGGCAAGGGCAGAAAGGGGAAACCCGGTGGACCTGATGCCGCTCCTGTGCTCCCAAAGGCCAAGGCAAAGGGCCACGCTGGCAAGAACGGCAAGTCCGACGGTGCCAGCGACAGAGGCAAGAGTCCGGGCGGAAGCAAGGATAACCCCTGCTGGTACCACTTCAAATCGGCGAAGGGGTGCGTGAAAGGAAATGAATGCACTTTTTCCCACAGCAAGAAGACGGAGCACAAGTTGGAGAGCATGTCCAAGGGGAAAGGAAAGGGCAAATCCAAGTCCAGATCATCGTCACCAAAGAGAGATGATGGAGCATGCTTCGCGTTTCAGAAGGGGAAGTGCGATAGGGGAAGCGCTTGCAAGTACAGGCATGAGCTCATCAAGAACAATTCAGCTCCAGCAACGTCAAATGACAAGGCGCAAGCCAAGTCGAAGGCTGCCGCCAAAGCCGCAGCGCCTGCCATTGCGAGGAGGGCCATCGCAATGCCCGCGATAGTCCTGAAGCAATCGGCTCCTGCAGGGAAGGTAAGCTTCAAGAAGGACGTTGATCAGGTCGAACCGGACGAAGCCGAGACTGTCTACCACGAGCACGATGACGACGCGATGAGCGAATCATCGAGATGGTCTGGCGAGTCCGAGATCCCCGAGAAAATGGTGTGGTTCAAGGAAGTGCTCGACGTCGACGAGAATGGGGAGATCACCTACCTCGAAGACGAGAGAAGGCAATGGGAACGAAAAGGAGAATGGTACGGTTATGAGGACAATGAGAATGAGCCTTATCAGTACGTGTACGTCGACGAGAAGAAGTTCAAAAGCAGTGATCATCGTGAATTATCAGCCTACCAAGTCCAACGATCATTGATACGTGCGAAGATACTGAGAGAAGTGGTGGATGATGTATATAAGAAGCACTACTTCCCGGTGACCAAGGAGAGCAGCATAATGTTCGAGTATGATCGGAACAAGGACGAGATCAAGGAATCGGCTGTCGACTGGAAGAAACAGCATGGTATGCCGAAGAACGTTTTCGCCATGTCAACGTGCATCAGCAAACGGGTGAAATGGTTGATGGACACCGGATGTGGTCATGATCTCATCGGAAGAGCCAAGGCGAAGAGCCTGGGTGTCGACATCGTGAAAGATGACGACGAGATCGTGTTCCAGACCGCGAATGGTTCCACTTCCACATCTGATGTGGCCAAGATAGTCGTGGACGAGTTGGACGAGACTGTCGAGCCGCATGTATTGGATGAGACACCCACGGTATTGTCAGTGGGGAGGAGATGCATGAAGATGGGTTATGCATTTCACTGGATGCCTGGTAAACTACCTTTCATGGTTACGCCAAAGCAGGGATTCGTGCACTTGCAGGTCAAGGACGACATCCCGTACCTAGTGAGTGATGGTAAACTTCGGAGTAACAGGCATCGCCCTACGATAGACGACCTCAAGGAGCACTTTTCGGAAGTATTGGCGATGGTAACGAACGACGAGGCAGATCAGGGAGGTGACGATGAGAACGACGTCACACCCGCCGCTGTCGGTGAGTCCGCAGAGGCCGAGGGCGAACACCACGACGGGGCATTCGACTTCGGGCCACCCGGAGGAGCCGGTCCGGTACGTCCGCCTCCCGTGGCTGAGGAAATACCTGTAGATGTTGGGTCAGTCCCGCATCGACATGGTGATGCCGAAGCTCACGAGGAAGAGGTTGATGAAGATGATCCAGATGCCGGAATCGAAGTAGACGTGTACGAAGGATCATCAATAAAGAGGAAAGTGGGAGTCCTCAAGAAGGACGCCAATTCCATAGCTCATTTGCTTACACACAGATACCGAAATCCCTTCTGCGAATCATGCGTCAAGGCAAAGATGAGACACTTCAGA